CAGGCACTGTGCCACACAGATTTTTTTTAATGTTAACCAAAAATAAATAAAAGTCCTTTAAAGCATACGATCTGAGGGAGATGAAGACAAACTGAATGTGTGTACAGGTTATGCATCGGGCAGAGTTTAGTCTGCCTGAACCACGTATGCTGTAGTCACCTTCAAAGGGTGGTGTCTGTTCAGGTAGTGCCACAGTAGTGTCATCAGTAGTTGGATCGTCTACTTATCAGTGTGAAGTGTGTCTCATCTGCGGCCCTTGCTGGTGAAGTCAGAAAGCAGGGAATGCAGTCTCAGGAAGCAACATCACCCGAACCTTCACAGACCTTGTTCTTGCTAGCCGCTGCTTTTGGGCTCTGGCTGTCCAGGGTGGGTTGGCCAGGGTGTATGTGCAAGTGGTTCTGTGCTGCCAGCTGGCCTCTTAGGGCCTTGGCTGTCAAGCCCCTTTTCATGGCAGCTAGTCAGCTATATGTGTGTGTGGACATGACATTCCTGCAGCTCACAGAACTACTTTTATAACTTTTGTTTTTCTCCATTTTTTTAGGATTTGGATTTGAGAGTTTGGATTTCCTTTTTTTTTTTTTTTCCTTTTTCCTCTTGCTGCTTGTTTTTCTCTTCTTCATCTTGGGAAGGTCCCAAGCCCTCCTTGATGCACTCACTAATGTCTTCTGTTTGAATTCCTCCTGCGGTTAGACACGATGCCCATTGAACAGACTCTATCTTAGTCTACCTATCAGAGATCACAGCTAAGCCATGGACAGATGTCCCACAAAGACTGAGTTTACTTCTGGGTCTTTGGTACCCAAATGTTTCCACTGCCCATTCTCCTAGGGACACTCATCTGTAAATCAGTTAGCTTTGAGCTTTCAGAAAATTCAATGGATCAGAAGCTGGTGTTGGGACTGGCACCAGAGCATAGTAGGTTAAGTTTCTCCCTGTGTTGCCAGCGTCCCACATGGCCACTGATTGAGTCCCTGCTATTGCACTTCCAGTCTGGCTTCCTGCTTATTGCCTGGGAGGGCTGCAGAGAATGGCTCAAGCTCTTGGGTCTTTGCATCTATATGGGAGACCTAGAGGAAGCTCCTGGCTCCTGGCCTCAGATCAACTCAGCTCTGTTCATTGCTGCCATTTGGGGAATGAACCAATGAATGGAAGATATCTCTCTCTGTCTCTTCACCTTTCAAATAAAAGTCAGATATACAGAGAGGAGGAGAGACAGAGAAGAAGATCTTCCATCCAATGGTTCACTCCCCAAGTGACTGCTATGGCCTGTGCTGCGCCAATCTGAACCCAGGAGCCAGGAACTTCCTCCAGGTCTCCCACACGGGTGCAGGGTCCCAAGGCTTTGGGCCATCCTCAATTGCTTTCCCAGGCCACAAGCAGGGAGCTGGATGGGAAGCAGGGCTGCTGGGATTAGAACCAGCGCCCATATGGAATCCCGGAGCATTCAAGGCAAGGACTTTAGCCACTAGGCCACGCCACTGGGCCTGAAGAACAAATCTTCAAAAAGTTGATGTCGAGTGCTGTAAAACCAGGAAATATCCCTAAAACAAAATGACAGTGAACAAACAAAGCACTTGAATATAGTCACAAAGATAACAATCAAGGTGGATGCAATTCCTAAAGTAACCAAGACTACCTGAGGATTGGGGAGACTTACACAGTTGAATGTCTTGCCAAGTGCTAAGGTATTAATGGCTTTTGTATTGCTATGTAAATTTGAAAACCCTTTGGAAAAACAACTTTAAAAGATCCACTTATGTTTCATTAGGCATTTGAATATTAATACACATGAATTTTATTTATTGGGATTTATCTTAAAAGAGGGCATTTTAGTGGCAGAAAATATAGACTACAGGAAAAATTTCCTCATGACGATTTTGTCATAATACCAAAAACATTGGAAACCCTTTTGTGGCCAGCCAGTAGGAGGGAGCTGAACAAATATATGCATATTCAGCCAGTGTAATCATGAAGGTGATGATGATGTAAATTATAATGCTCGTAATAAAAATGCAAGCCACAAAGTTCGATACACAGGGGCTTACAGCTATGAAAAACAGGGGTAGAAAGAAGTAATTGTTAGGAAGGAACATGGTGTGATCAGCAAGTTAGTTCTTCTCCCACTTGTGTTTCTTAGGTTTGACGATATATCAGTAGCAGTTAGGCCAATAGAATTTCCAAAATCATTTCCTCCCCAAAATGGCCTCTCTAGGGCTCTTTTTCTCCCTGGGGAACTCAGTTTTGTTTGTTTGTTTGTTTGTTTTGTTTGTTTTGTTCTGTTTTATTGGAAAGGCAGATATACAGAGAGGAGGAGAGACAGAGGGGAAGATCTTCCATCCAATGATTCACTCCCCATGTGTCCCCAGTGGCTGGAGCGGAACCAGTCCAAAGGCAGGAGCCAGGAGCTTCTTCCAGGTCTCCCACATGGGTGCAGGGTCCCAAAGCTTTGGGCCATCCTCTACTGTATTCTCAGGCCACAAGAAGAGAACTGGATGGGAAGCGGGACAGCCGGGATTAGAACTGGCGCCCAAGTGGGATCCTGGTGCATTCAAGGCGAGGACTTTAACAGCTATGCTATTGTGCCGGGCCTGGAACCCAGTATTTTAAGAGTAAGCATATCCCAAACGAGTGCAGGGGCTCACTTTGCTGTTGCTGGCAGTGTTTGATTCATGGCCTGAAGCACCACGGTGGTAGACACATCTTGTTGCTGTGCCACTTGTGACTACTGGATCGCCATCACTCGATATTATCCCTTCCCCATCACAGCAGCACTTGACCATAGCACTGAGTCTTGCCTAGAACTCTGATTATACTTAGAACTTCAGGAACAAAGTAGCCTCCCAGAGGAGTGTTAAAGTGAGTGGCACCTGTGTTGTTAGTCCACTGATGGGGCACTTTAAACAGAGCCACCTCCCATGGTGTTGGTTTGAACATGCTAGATAAAAGTGTTTTGGGAGGACTGGGGACCTTCCATTATGGAACAGTGAGGCGTTAACTCAGTGCATCCTTTGCCAGAAGAGTCAGCTGTACAATTTCCACATCTGTACTGCACCTGTTTTCTTGTTAATAAGTACTCATCCTACTTACACTAACTTCTACTTCCATTTTGAGCATACTGAAAGGTGGCAATTTCAAAAATGCCAGTACTTTACATGGTCTGTGTCAGGGATTGTTTTGTTTGTTTTGTTCTGTTTTTCTTCTTCTATAAAGCACTTCATTTCTATGGCTGGGAGACTGACTCTTGTTTTGTTTCTTACTTTAAGAAATTTATTTTATTCATTTGAAAGGCAGAGGACCGAGGTGGTAGAGTAGCAGATTTTGCTGCCTCCTGCAACGCTGGTGTTCCAGATGCGCACCAGCTCAAGCCGAGCAGCTCCACTGCTGGCCTAGCTCCGTGCTGATGTGCCCGGAAAGGCAGCAGCAGGTGGTCCCAGTACTCAGATGCTTGCAGCCACGTTAGGGACCCACTTGGAGTTTCAGCCTCTGGCTTCAGCCTGGCCCAACCCCAGGCCGTTGTAGCCATCCATTTGGTCAGTAAACCAGCAGATAGCAGATCTTTCTCTCTTTGTAACTCTGCCCTTCACAAAAATAAAATAAATCTTAAGAAAGCAAAAACACGGGCAGAAGCACAGAAATAAAGAGATTCCCCCAGCTGACCGGTCACTCCCCAAATGGCCGCAAGAGCTGGGCTAAGCCAGGCCGCAGCCAGCAACCAGGAGCTTCTTTAGGATCTCCCACGTAGAGATGGGTAGATCTGCAACCCATCTTCCATTGCTTTCCCAAGTGCATCTTCAGGGCTGCGTCAGAAGTAAAACAGCTGGACCAGAACCAGAGCCCACAAGAAATGGCTACATTACAAGCGGCAGCTTCTACCCACTACACCACAGCACCAGCCCTGGTTGTTCCTTCTTTGGGTTTTTTTTTTTAATTGATTTGCTTATATGTTTTCTGCTTATAGAAGATCTAAGTCAAGTATTGTGTATTTGTTCAATTCCATGCTACTTAAAGACTTGGTGTGTAGGTTGTGCTGTTGAGCATACATTTTCTTTGGGGATGGGAGTACAGGGCAATGGAGGAATCCTGTGCTTCCATGTATGCCCGAGATATAAAATAAAAACTCAGGGAGGGACGTAGCCAAAGGGAAGCATCACTTAGCCAAGAGTGACCTCCAAGTTACCGCGCGACTTTGTTTTTCAAGTAAGCCCTCCCGCTTTCTGTGTTCATCAGATGGTTGCGTTGCTGGGTGCTGTGTTTCTGAGTAGGTACCACTTAACCTTTCATGTGGATGTTTATTCATCTCACTGGAAGAGCTTCAAGTCCTCTTTAAAAATTAATTTGACTTTAATGTCGAGTTATGTAGGACTCCCCTGGGCTGGGATGAAATCACACGAGGAGGATTTTGATTTGTCAAACGGCCATTGTACGGGCGTCTTTGATCCTTCACTGTGATGTGTAGCAGCCTCGCCTGGTGCTGTTCAAGTGTCAAGCGAGATCAAAGTCTGTGTCGCCAGGACCGGGGTTTGTCCCAGCATCTGTAGGCCAAGGCGGTCTGGTAGGTGGAAGGGATGCCCTGCCACAGGTGCAGCCACCGAAAAGTAGATGAGGATGACCACACACAGAGCAGGTTGAGACTCACTCTAGGGCCTTGGTATTCTCCATCCCGGAGAATTTCAATCCTAAGTTTTTAAAAATTACCAGGGAAATTTTCCTTTTAACTCGCTTTCTTTGTTAAGAGCAATATATAGAGTGCGTGATGGAGACTTGTTCGAAAGATGGCTAGAACACCGGCACTTGGCTACAAATTCTGGGAAAGGGTCAGCCTGGATTAGGTGACGTGGCTCTGAAGATAAAAATAAATGTCTTCCATGGGGAGGGGCAGATGCCAACTTCAGATCCTAACCTGCATTGTGCAGCTGCAGCTGGACTCGGCAAGCTGTCCGCATCACACATCCCCCAGGAGGCACCTGTTGTCTAACTCTCCTCTCTCCTCTCTCGCACAGATGGGGAGCTCTCCATATCGAACGAAGACGACTCCCTGGAAAACGGACAGTCCCTGAGTTCCAGCCAGCTGTCTCTGCCTGCCCTGTCTGAAATGGAGCCGGTCCCCATGCCCAGGGACCCCTGCTCATACGAGGTGCTCCAGGCCTCAGATATCATGGACGGGCCAGGTATGAATGTGGCAGAATTGAAGGCAACTTCTGACTCTATTTTGATCGCCCTGAACCTAACCATGTAGAAATTTACTGCATGCTAAGTATATGTTTTTTTTTTTCTTATGGAGGGTATTTCCATATATTCTAGACTTTTTTAAAAATGCTTTTCACAGTCCATCTCTGTAAGAAAAAAAAAAAGCTGGCTTGTTTTTGTAATAGTGATGATGTACAATGTGATTATTTTGTTTTCTAACTCTGTTGTTGAGAAAAAAAATCAAAGAATCCTACGTATGTATATGAGACCTGTATAATTCTGTGGATATGCATTTTAATCCTGGTCTTCTGGTTTCAAATCATGATTATATCAGTTTAGCAAACTGGATCCATTTACTGGATGCAGTCAGTTGATTTTAGTGTCAATTGTGTACAATTTATGGGTTAAATTAGATCCCACTATAGATAATAGCATTTAACCATCACCTCCCTCTCTGGTCCAGTGTTATCTTGAGTGGTCAGTATTCATCTCGCCAAAAATATTAGTAGAGTGACCCTTAGTTCAGAGATGGGTCCTTCCCAACAGATGCAGAGGAGCCATATCGCCTGTCAGCAGATGGATTGGGGACATCTTGGATGTATACCTGATATATGGGTAGAAAGGCCATTCTCTCTCTAACCTGCCAGTCCCACGCCAACCCGAGCTTGCATGGGAGGGAAGGATGATACCTGCAGGATGATTTCCATGTGTCCTCTGTGGGCCTGGTGAGTCACTGTTCCCACAGTGAATGAGGCATAGATGATCACAATGGGCCTGGAGCTCGGAAGGATTCTTTGCAACACTTGAATGCTGCCTGGAACACTGGTGCCCAGATCGGGGAGGAGGCAAGAGGGCAGCAGGGACTGCCTTACTTGTAACATGAGAATACAAAACACATCACATTCCCATTCCTGTGCCATTGGAATCAGGCAGGTCATGGTTGCAGCTTCTCATCATGCAGGCAAAGACATGGGCCAGCACCTAGGACAGCTCCGAGCTAGAGCTGGGCAGGTATGGGGGTGGGGCAGGGGTGGCATAGTGGGGAGGGAGAGCCTTGGAGTCTAATGTGCAGCAAACTGGAGTGTGGGGAGGCCTCACCTGGACAGCTGTGGCTTAGCACTGACTGTTCCAGAGCCTGGGGGAGCAGCCCCCCAAGACCTGTCTGCGGAGTGTCGGCTCTGGGTTGGCAGCAGCAGCTCGTGACCCAGAGTTGCCAGCAGGGACACAGCAGGCCTCAGCCCTGGGCATGGAGGCTCTCCGCTTACTTGATGCCTCGCTTTCCTCCTGTACAACAGAGGACACACAGCCCAAGCTCAGGTTTTGGCTGGGTTTGGAGGGTGCCACTCCCCAGCCCAGCCCTGGACTGTGCTATACTGGCCGCTGTGATCCCCTGAGTTACACTGGAGCCTCAGGAATTTGTATGACACATGGCAAGTTTGAAATTGTGACTTTTTGATGGTTTTCAGAAAATGGCCTTCTCTTTCTCACTCTTACTCTTTCCACCTTGACCCTGTTTATTCCTCAACTCTCTCTCTCTCTCCCTCTCTCTGTCTCCCTCTCTTCCTCCTATCTCTCCCCCTGCCCACTTGATTGCATTTCTGCCATCCTCTGTGCTCCCCTGAACTCCACATGCATGCGTGACAACGCGAGGCCGTCCGTCAGTACTCTGCTGTGTCCCCAGCACATTCCCATCCTGTGTCCCTGGCTGGCTCTCACTGCGTTTGTGTAATGTCATTGTGTCTCATGTGGTTGTCCCCTCAGTGTCTGAAGACAGTCCCTCTGCCAGTGAGTCTGGAGTCCTTCTGTCCCAAGATCCTTCAGCCAAACCAGTCCTGCTCCTGCCCCCCAAAAAACCTGCTGCTTTCTCTGGAGACCATGAGGAGACCCCAGTGAAGCAGCTGCCCCTTCTCAAGCAACCCCCGGCCCTGCCTCCCAAACCCACTGCCAGGATTGCCAGCCACTTAACAGGTGAGTCGACCCAGCTGCCGGGATGTAAGGTCCGCCCTCCCTTCAAGGGACGAGCTCATGCTCTTCATTATTTTATCCGAGGCCTGAACGCGCCCCCTGAGATCTGTGGGAAACTGAGGTGTTTCTGTGTGTGTCTTGGTACATGCAGCCATGACCAGGGACTTACTTTTGTGTGAAGAAGCATCTGATTGCTATGCACCTGCCAGCCTCATGCCAAGAGCCTCTGGTCTGTGTTTATGTAAATATGTTTATTGTGTTGTAAATAGCTCAAGGTGATGCAACCGTCTTGGTGACCGATACAACTGCAGAAATTTTGCAAGTATTAAAAGAATTGTTTCTTTTTTCATGCATAGTGTGTCAGGGCTTTACATTTTCATCTTTGAGTTACTGATCTGAAGCGTAGGATGTCTCTTCTATGAAAATGCTTCATTTCTGTATTATTTGTTCTCTCAAAAGAAAAGAAAAAAAATGAAATACTAATAATCTGTGTGGTATGCAGGAAATAACTTTTAGAAAAATAGCTTAGTATGGTGTCCTAACATAAGTTTTATAATTTCATGTTCAAGGTCTTTTTTTTTTAAGATTTATATATTTTTACTGGAAAGTCAGATTTACAGAGAGAAAGAGGCACAGAGAGAAACATCTTCCATCTGCTGGTTCGCTCCCCAAGTGGCTGCAACCGTTCAAGCTGAACCCCATCCAAAGCCAGAAGCTAGGAGCTTCTTCCAGGTATTCCACACTGGTACAGGATCCTAAAGCTTTGGGCTGTCCTCCACTGCTTTCCCAGGTCACAAGCAGGGAGCTAGAAGGGTAGTGGAACAACCAAGACATGAACCAGTACCCATATGGGATCCCGGTGCATTCAAGGTGAGGACTTTAGCCACTAGGCTACCACACCAGGCCTCATGTTTGAGGTCTTAATGAATGTACTCTTGGATACACTCATTAAGTAACCATGTTACTGAAGTGGGCATCCAAAGAAATTGCCTTTTCCTACACAATGGCACATGCCTCAAATACTACTTCATGATTTAAGGTGGAGATTTAATAAGAGGTTCCATGAACCTCCCCCAACTCATGCTGGTGGACAATATGTTTGGTATTTTTAGACAGAATACCTAATTGCTCTTGTAGTATCTTGTAATGTATGGTGGTTGTGGATTTAGGGAAGAATATTCCCCCTGTTTTACAGTAGAAAAGCTGATATTCGGGAAAGAATAAATAGCTTTTCCGGCCTGGAAGTAATTGATTCTGGAGTAGAGACATGCTGAGACCTTGGATTTCCTAGCTGCTAGTGTGATGGATACGGTTTCCATAACAACAGTGCGTTTCTCCTGTTGTAGTGGATTCCAGCGTTGGCTCTGGCTTCTGTCAGACTACTAATATGTCAGGGTACTTCCAAAAGTTCATGGGAAAATCAGATTAGAAGATAAGTTAGTTTGGGTACCAGAACCTATAAAATCAATGCATTCAAGGAAGGTATCTTCGAAAAGTTCTTGAAATTTCGTATTACAGAAAAAACTTTGCATGGATTTTTTTTTGTGATCAAATAAATTTGTCACTGAATTCTGTATTTCTGGAAAAATCATATATATCCATCTGAGTCAGATAGTTGAAAAGACCAAATTTCTTTTCAAAGTCCATCCTGCTCTCGCACCTGCGTGGCAGCGGGCCGAGCACATGGGCCATCCTGCACTGCTTGTCCAGGTGAGTCCACAGACAACTGTGTCAGAAGCGCATCAGCCTGGCATCTCATGTGAGATGCCACCATCAATGCCTGCCCCACAAAAGTGAATTTCACTCTAAATTCCAGTAATGTTTTCATTCAGTGCCTAAACATTTAAATTCACAGGGATTAAAAAAAAAAGCCTAAAGCCTACAGGAGGAAAATGCTTGCTATTCCCCTTTTAAGACATGTCCACTATGTACCTGTCTGTCTGAGGAAGCTTCAATAGTGCCCTACAAATTATTTGGTCACCTACCATTTGCATTTGTCATGTGCCATTAACTGGGTCTCATGTTTGTAACTATCCCACAGTATGATTTTATTAACTGCCCGGGTAAATCAGGGTTTACTTGGTTGATCTTTTTCCGCTCTTCTCTGTTGAAAAACACAACAAAAGTCATCCACAGCAGCTGATCAGCTTTTACAAGTATCTCTGAGGTTTTCCTAGTTTATTGGAAAAATTAGAATTGTTAGGTCAGTCTATGGCCGTACCACCCTGAACGCGCCCGATCTCGTCTGATCTCGGAAGCTAAGCAGGGTCGGGCCTGGTTAGTACTTGCATGGGAGAATTGCTAGGTCAAAAGCTATGTACCTCTTAAGGCCTTGATGTCAGATCCCCCGTTGGAAAGATGAAATGCTATGGTAAATATATCCCTACATATAATTAATATTCATCCAAACACCTGTTGTAGACAGAATACTTTGTGAGGTTTCAGAGTGGGTTCAAGTCTATGACCTTTTAATGAATACGTAGACAGTATTATATATGTGTGTGCGTTATACAAAGATCTTCAAAAAGTTCGGGGGAAATGTCTTATTTTTAAAAAGCTGTGCATAGATTTTAAAGGTTTTTTTCAACTTTTTTCTAAGTTCTCTTTTTTTTCACATTCATTCTCTCTCTCTCTCTCTCTCTCTCTCTCTCTCTCTCTCTGTATCTGGGGTAAGTTGGGGAATAAAAGGAGAAGCCCCACCTAGCCATCCCAGGGTGCCCGACGTGGGGCATGCTCTGAGGGCACTGCTCAAGTGGTTTTGCTTGTTCAACAGTTCTGAATTGCTGCCAGTCTCACCATCCCAAGCGCGATGAAATTTCTCCAGAATCCACTGGTTGACATAGTCCACCTTAGAGTCTCCATTTGCCCAGATTTTTACTGGCAACACATGGCTGAGATCATTGATCGATTTGTTCTGTCCTCCGTCCTCTGTTCCGCAAACTTTTTTAAAGTACCCTCACATCCGTAATAGAGTACTAAAATCATTCCTGTTGGAATACTAGATTGTAGTGAAGTCTCAAAAGGTGGCTATTAGGGAAGGTTGAGGCTTGAGCTGCATTTATTTACTCATTGGTTTATTTGTTTGTTTGTTTGAGAGGCAGAAACACAGAGAAAACGTCCATCCTTCCCCAAATGCCCATGATGGCTGGCACAGGGCAGGGCCAAAGCCTGGAGGTGGGAACTCACTCCAGGTCTCCCACATGGGTGGCAGGAATCCAGTCATTTGAGCCAGCATTGCTGCCTCTATGGTCTGCAACAGTAGGAAGATGGAGTCAGGAGCCAGGGCCTGGTCTGTACCCCAGGTATGCTGTCAGGCTGGACACGTGATGCTTGGGCAGACATTGGAAGCATGAAGGAAAGCCATTCCAGGGAAGAAGACTGGCCAAAAATTCAGAAACGGCAGACAGTGTTTGGTGTCATTGAAGAAATGGCTGTGTAGAGGTGGAGGCTTCGTTTTGGGGTGCACTGAGAGAGAGGGTTCACTGGGTGAACATAGAGATTTAGATTGTGTTTCCTTGTGAAGGTTGTTGAAAAAGAGTGAAATCATGAAAATTGGCCTTTAGCGCTTTCTGCCGGATCACTGCAGGGAACGAATAGGAAGAGAAGGTTGAAGAGCTATAAGAGAGGTCATCCTTTATGAGTAATAATATTGATTTACTTGGAAAGCAGAGCAACACAGAGCAAATGGGGGGACAGAGAGAGAGGGGTCTTTCATCTGCTGGGTTACTTCTGAAATGTCTGCAATAATCGGGTCTGGATCAGGCTGAAGCCAGGAGCCAGGAATTCCATCTGTGCCTCCCACCTGAGTGGTGAGGCCCACGCTGGAGCCATCCTCTGCTGTTTTCCCAGGCACGTTAGCAGACAGCTGTGCTGGAGCCGAGCTGGGTTTGGACTTATGAAACAGCTGGGTTGGCAATTGAACGATCACTCCCGATACGGGATGCTGACATTGCAAGTGGCAGCTTAATTCTCTGTGCCACAGTGCTCTCTCCAAAGGCAGGATTTCTTAGTTAGCACCACTCTAATTCGTCTAGCTCTCTCATCCACGGTACATAAGCTTCCACCACAAGCCCTAGAGCGTGGATGACTTGATTTCCATCAGATTTCATGTATGATACTGAAGGTACCTAAATGACAAGTCACTCTGGCTGTGCCTTATCATTTTCCCAAGGTCGCATATGGCATGAACCTGTAAACCTCCCTTCCATAAAGCTTGAATCAATGGCATAAAAAAGGCATGAAAAGTCTATCTTTACCATAGGTACCTGGTGATCTCTAAATGTGATAAGGGAAGACAAGCAACAGTGTCTGTGCGTACCGAGTATCATGGTGTTCGCTGGAGCTTAAACTCAGTTTAAGCAGCATCATGTTCATAAGTGAGCAATCCATTATAATGAGTTGGCACCACCATGAGGCAGCTATATTAACCCCGTGCTGTTGCTAATTACTCTAGAGACATCTGGGCCATGTCAGAAGGCATTAATAAGCTATGGATCACAGAACTGTAAATCGAAACTTTGGAGCTGCAGTAGGTTCTCAGTGTCTTTTCTGTTCCACTGACATGTTTGGGAGGATACTCAGGACAACGGAAGGGCACTGCCACGATGAATAGGGAGGGACTGTGGTTAATGATCTGGGAAAAGGCTAGAGAAATATGAGCCTGAACCTGAGCACTTGCACTTGCATGGTTGGGGAAAGAGAGAGAAATATTTCGATTCTGGCATTTGCCTCCATGTTGTCAGGAGAGCCATAATTAACCTGGAGACAATTTTGTCTTAGATATTTTCTCTGGTCTTCAGCCAAGTAAAGAGAAACTCAGTCTCCTAAACTGGCTTTCTTCTCCCAATGTCACCCCTCTTCCGTTCCTTCTCCCCCAACAGCATCCTGCACCGTGGCATCTCACACAGTCAGGGGCTTGGGGGGCTTTAGGTTCCTGCCTTTCTGAAAATGCGGTATCCAGCAGAACAGGTTGCATTATCAGGGTGATCTGGGGTGACAAAGCC